CCTGGCCGGCCGCGTGTTCCCGGAGCCTCGGCGGCCCCGAGCGGGGAGCCCCGGGCGGCGAGCAGCGCCCCTCCCCCCGCCGGCCCTCCGCGGGAAGGTGACCTCTGGAGGTATCCCTAACCGGAGGACCCGGAGAACCACCCCACACCTCTTCCCTCTGTCCCCAGCCCCTAGCCCCTTCCTGTGCTAGGAGGGATTTCTTGATGCCCCTTCTCCATTTCTCCCTGACGTGGAGAGAAGCCCCTGCCACCTTTCTATTTTTTGCTCCCCTCTGCTGAGAAGACCCGTGTAACCCCTCTCCGACCCCAGAGGCCAGGGAAAGGATGATCGCTGTCAGAGGTCAGGGTGCAGAGGCCCACTCTGGTGCTTTGTCAGACTACCTAAAGTCCCCACTTGGTGACAGTCTGCTTTGCTCCCCTCCCCCACACTTCTGAGCTGTGCTTTAGTTTTTATGGGGGTGGGCTAAGGGAGGAATGAAGAGTGTCATTATTCCACTTTATACTTTTTGGAAAAATGGCTTAAAATTTGCTGTGACGTCTGCATTGTGGGACCAGCTCCCCCCCACCCCCACCTTTGGAGGGAGCTCCTGCCAGCCTTGCAAACACACTTTGTCCTGGTGAAAGGGGGTGTTGGAGCAGGAGCAGGTGGTTTTTTGAAACTCTAAAACTTGCCCACCCGACTTGCTTCTCAAAGCCATCTAAGGGCCCTTTACACTCTTCCCTTACACCTTCCCTCAGCCACAGAGTCTCCCCTTGGAGAGAGGCAGAAGGAAAAAATGGGCTGGGGTCCCTGCTGCCACTCTGGGTGCCTTAGACCCTGGCACAAAGGCCTTGGCTCCAGGCCTCCAAGGCGGGGGGGGGGGTGTGGGGAGGGGAAGGAGTGGCTGCCTGGCCACAGCGTGACCTTCAGAGGCCCCCAGAGAAGGGCACCTGGCCCCTCCCTGCCCAGAACAGCCCCTCCCAGTGCCCCCTGGCCTTGGAGGGGGTTAAATTTCTGTCCCCCCTTCCTTGTTGGGGCCCAGGAGAAGTGGAGGGCATAGGGAGAACGTTGGCAGAAGGAAGCCAGGGGGTATCATGGAGATGGGCCAGGGGCTAAGGTGGAGACCCTGGAGGGTCCCTGAGGTTGCTGCTGTGAGAGGCTGCCCAGCTGGGATCCTGGAAACTGTTATCTGACCTTGGCCCTAGGGGCAAGGCTCGGGGATCCGGGGTGCATTGGGGGTGTGTGGGGAAGGAGACAGACAGACTTTGTCAGTGGGGTCTGCAGTTCCACAGCTCTGCTGCTTAGGATGTGCCCGCAAGGAAGGGCAGGTGGGGTGGGCAGCTGGTGAGAACCGAGGGCTGGGAGAAGCCTTTGCCTGCTTGGAGCTGTCAGGTCCACATGGTTGGGCATGTTGACCTTCACAGCTTCTGGGGAGGGGAGGAATGGTCTGGTGGGGGTGGGGAGGGATGGCGAGGCATAGGGGAGGCCTCAGGCCTGGCTAGTGCAGGGGGCCCCCTAGGGGCTGGGCAGTGCTAAGGCATAAAGGCTTTCCTGGTTGCATTTGAGGAAAAGTGCCCAGCTAGGTGAGAGGGACTTGGGACCCCCCTCAGTCCAGGAGGGAGAAGAAACTAGCGAACAAGGTGCGAGTGTGAGGCTCTGGGCTTTGGAGATACATTCAGGCCCCTGGAAGGGTCTGTGTGCTGGGAGAAATGGGGCTCTCCCCTCCCCCCAGGGTTTCCTCCTTGGTTTTCCCTTCTAGGCAACCTGTGGGTTTGCTGAATATTCCCAGGAACAGAGGAGTTTGGAAGGGGGAGGGTGGTTGGCGCCCTTCGTTCCTCTGCACCCTCCTCCTTCCCCAGCACCAGCTCACCCTGGTATTTGTCATGTCAGCAGGAGAAGGTCACCATGTTGTTTTTCTCGCCCCCAGTCCTTCCTTCCTGCCCCAGTCCAAATTTGTCCTCCTATTTGACCTTACTCCTTACCCATGGCTTTGGACCAGGGAGTCGGGGGGCTGAGAAAATTCCCTGAACTCAACAATGGGCCAGTGAGGGGTGGGGAGGGAAATGTGGGGAAGGGGCGGGGACCCGGACAGCACAGCGTTCTGGTATTTTCCTCCTGTGTTTTCAGTTCTCCACCCCCACTCCCCCCAGCCCCTGCAATATCTGGTCAGTCTTTCTCTTCCTTCACAATTGGAGCAGCACAGGGGCTGTGGGCATGCTCTCTGCTGTGCGGAGCCGGGCAGGTGCCTTGTTCCACTCAGAAGCCTCGGAGAAGCCAGAGGCTGCCGGCTGGGCGGGTGGCTGGGCCTCTGCATCCCTGCTCATGCCTGTGCCTTGCTTTTGTTTTGTCCTCAGTGGTCCCAGGCTGCACCCATGGCAGAAGGAGAGCACAAACCCCACGAAGGTGAGTCCCTCTGGCCCTTGGATGGGTATCCTGTCTCCCCAGGGGATGGGTGGGGAGGCTCCGATTCCTTTCTTGCAGGTCTGTGGCGGTGGGGGAGGGGGGAAGGGGTGCAGGAATGGGGAATCAAGAAGGGAAGAGGGGAGCACTATGAGAGTCACCATTCTGGCGGTCTCTCTTTGCTACTCAGGCCTCTGCTAGAAATAGAACTTGTTGCTTTTTCCTTCTGCTCTTTCCAGTAAAATTTTATTTGGAGAGGGGGCCGTGAGTATAGGCCAGGAAAGACAGTGTTCAAAGATCCCAGTTGTCGAGGGAGGTGTCCCTTGTCCCACCTGCCCCCAGGGGAGGATGGATAGTCTGTGTCACATTCAGCCCAGCCGTGTCACCCCTGTGGGCTCTGTGTGGAGGGGTATGTGCCCCTGGCTGTTCAGTAAACTGGTTGTGCGTGGGCTGGAGGTGCAGAGGGCCCAACCTCCTGAGCCCCGCCTCCCCACAGCCTGTATTCCTTTGGGGCTGGAGAGAAGGCCCTGCAGTCTCCCTCTGCCCTCCGGGTGGGATAGGTTTGGGTGCTGTGAACTTCCCTCCTAGGCCAGCAGAGGGCTGGCTGTAGCTCCCAGGTGCCCCGCCCCCTGCCCAACTCAGAGTCAGCCTGCCTTTTGTTCCTCTGTGGTTTGGAGTAGGGATCCTCCCATTTCTCTAGGGAAGCCCTGCCCCCCGGCCCCCAATGTGGCCTCTACTCCAGCCTTGGGGGAGGAGTGCCCGATGCCACTCCCCTAGCGCCCCACCGCTGAGTAAGGAAGGCCCTGGGGTCTTCAGACCTCAACCCATTGTGACCCAGGGTGGTGGCCAGGGGTGGTGTTTGCACTCCCTGGGCCAGTGGTGATGCCCAGCCCGTTCTGCCTCCCTCTTCACTCAGGAGCTCTTTCCTTGGCCAGGGCCTGGCTTCCCAGCCACCCCACAGCCTGTGCCGCTCAGAGGCTCCTGGGTCCCAGTGTGCACCCACCCCCCCCATCAGCCTCCTGGTGGTCTCTGTGGTCTGGGAGAGGCAAGACAAATGATCTTTGTTTGCTGGGGACAAGATTGTTTTCAAGAAACAAGGAAAAGCAAGAAAGCTTGTTGTGGGAGTCGATGTATGTCCGGTGGCCTGGGCAAAAGCAGGCCAGCTTTCCTTGGGGGCAGTGGCTAGAGTATGAGGGGTACGGGTGAAGTTGCCCCCCTCGACCTCCCTCCTGCGGCCCTTGGGGATTCCAGGGAGCTTTTCCAAGGAATTCCTAGTCTGGGTCTTTATACCCTCAGCTACCAACTGCCAGTGGCCCAGACCAGACCTTCCTGCTTTCCTGTCCTGGTTGGGGCCTTGTGGCCCCAAAGCCTGGGCCACCTCTGTCCCCAACCATGACAAAGTGTCAGGTCAAGAATTCTTGATAAGTCATCTTCTTCGAGATAGACTCGGCTTAGAAAAGGGCTTCTTCAGATCTCTGCTCTCACCTATGCTCTGACGGTGCTTTACCTTAACCCTTTTGAGGGTGGAGGAGAATTCTGTGCCTGTTGTCTGCATAGGGGAAGTAGATCTCAGACAAGGCCAGGGACTGGTTGGGAGCCCACCCCCCCTCCCCGTTCCCTTGCTGTTTTCACGCCTATGGCCTTCCCCTCCCTTCCCCTCAGCTCTCCAAATTCTCCTCAACCCACTTAGTGTATAGATACCCCCAGGCTCATCTTCCTTTACCGTCCGGAGGGAAGAGGAGCTCAGCCACAGTCTCTGGGGAGAGGCAGGCTAGGGGGTTGCACTTCAGACGCTTGGGTGAGGTTCCAAACCTTGTGTTACCTGGGCTGAGAAAGAGCGCTTGTTTGGGGGCCGGAAACGGGAGACCAAAACCCCACATTTCAGTCTCAGTTTCAGTGTCTTTAGAAATCCACCCAACCACTCATACAGATGTGCAATCTGAGGCCCAGAGAGGGGAGGGACCGGCCCAAGGTCACACGGAGTCATGAACAGAGCCCAGACCTCTTCACGGGCTGGATGCCCCTTCTTCCTCCTGCGAGGGGAGAGACATTTCAGGGAGAGCATTACTTTGTGGTAGTGGGGGGGGGGGGGGGGGGGGGGGCGTGAGATGGAGAGTGGCAGGCTGGGCCACAAGTTGGAGTCGTCATTCCAGGTCCTGAGTGTGTCTGTTCTCGAGGGCCCCGCCCCCGTGGCCTAGAATTACCCCTTCATGCTCCAGTGCACCTCGGGCTCCACGGCCAGCCTGGGAAGCCGTCTTTACCCTGCCCTCCCTCCAGATCAGCTTCTAGAAGTGCTCCATGGCTGCGGTGGCGGCACCGTTTTTTCCATGATGCAAGCAGTTTGCCCTCTTGGGCGGGGTTATCGGTGGCTGGCAGGGCCTGCACAGTGTGCCCACCCACTGCCACCTGCTGATTCCAGGCAGGCCTGGCGCCTCCCCAGCCCGTGTCTGGGGAGGGGTCTGGCAGGTGGCAACGTGCCCTCCCCCCCCCACATGCTTCTACATGATTTGCCTTGGGAAGGCTTTGATGTCAGAGCAGATCGGAAGTGTGGGCCCGGGGCAAGTTCCTCAGCCTCTCTGAACCTCCAGTTCCCACTTTGGAAAATGGGGTTCCTAGTGGAACCTCATAGCGTCACGTGGGGAGAATTATTGGCCATGGAAACCATGGATGATGGTGCACAATGCCCAGCATATAATAAGTCCGCATCCAATGGTTGTTGGTGTGATGGATGGTGTGACGGAGGTTGTAGGGAAATGCAGAGTAGGTTTGCCAAGCTGGCTCTTCCTCCTTTCATGGGAAACAGATCACCACCACCCCACCCCCCCCGGCAAGTATACTTATCTTCAAACTGTGCCCTGGTATCAAGGTTGACCCAGGAGTTGGCTCAGCGGTCATGGCGAGGTGGTGGGGTCAGATGTAGCAGACCATCTTCCTCAGAACCCGACAGCCTCGTGTGATCTTTGGAATAAAACCAGACCTTCCATCAGTGCCCGTGGTGCAAAGCTTAGGGAAGGATGTCAACCACAGCTGGAGGGACTTAAGCTAGAGTTTGGGAAGGATTGGCCCAGTAGGGGATACCTCTCACAGGAACCCTGAGGGGTTGCCCTATAAAGCTCGGTGGAGATGGGGGCCGGCCATCTCTTGTGTGACCGGCTGGGCTCATGTGTCACTCCATCCCCTGCAGTGGTGAAGTTCATGGACGTGTACCAGCGCAGCTACTGCCGTCCCATTGAGACCCTGGTGGACATCTTCCAGGAGTATCCTGACGAGATCGAGTACATCTTCAAGCCATCCTGCGTGCCCCTGATGCGGTGTGGGGGCTGTTGTAATGACGAGGGCCTGGAGTGCGTGCCCACCGAGGAGTTCAACATCACCATGCAGGTGGGCATCTGTGGGGAGTGGGGGGTGGGGGGGGCGGGAGCGGGGTTAGACTTTGGGAACAGGTGCTCCCCGGCCCTTTCCTCGGCAATTCTTGAGAGGGAGAGCCAGATTTGCCTTGCTCAGCTCCTGCCCCTGAGTCAGTCAGGAGGCAGTGTGGGGAGTCTTACCCCCTTTGGAGAAAAAGATGCCCTGCATTTCTGGGATGGTCTGGGATTTCCCACAAGTCCCTACTGCCTCCTCCTCCTCCCCGACCTTTGCCCCTCGGCTCAGGAGGGGCTGACACCTGTGACAGGAGCCCCTCTCTTCCTCTCTTGGAGGAAGAGGGCGCTTCCTCCTGGGGGGCTCTGTTTGGGGTGCTGGGTGAGCCTGGTGCATGGAGAGTGTTAGAAGGTAGTCGTTTGGTGCTGCCTGGTGACAGGGCACATCCCAGCCTGGACAGGGTGGGAGGGAGCTCTGAGACCCCCGGGAAGGTGGCTCTTGGGTAGCGACTAGGGGTCAAGGTGAGGCCTAGAGGGGATAACAGGAGGGGAGGGATGGGCACAGGCAAGAACCCAGGACCTGAATTCCCAGCCTGGCCAACCCGTGCAACCATGCCTGCCCTCAAGAAGAGCCAGGGGCTCCTTGAGGTCAGTAGGGTCGGGGGAGTTGGGGTGGGCCTGAGGCTCTTTCTGGTAGAGCCCCTGGTGCCTCCTCCCTCTACCCCCCACCCCTGCTCTGTAGAACCCCTGGGTGTTGAGTGGCAAGAGCCACAGGATGTCCCATCTGGGTATGGCTGGCTGGGTCACTAACCTCTGTGATCTGCTTCCTTTCCCTCTAGATTATGCGGATCAAACCTCATCAAGGCCAGCACATAGGGGAGATGAGCTTCCTACAGCACAGCAAATGTGAATGCAGGTGAGGACGGAGTCACGGATTCGGATTCGTTTGTTTAGCAGACGGCGGGAGGGTTAAGCATGTTTCACTTGTTAGCCATTTCTACCTTGCAACTGTGGCACCTTGGGCATTTTCATTTTACTTCTCTGTGCCTCAGTTTCTACGTCTGTCAAATGGGCACAATAATAGGATGTCTCTCGTGGCACTCTTAGAAGGATTAAGTGAGTTCTTTTACCTAAAGGGATTAAAACTGCATTGATATGTCATAAATAGTACGTTAAGGCTCTTGTTGTTAGCATCACCAACTGAACCCCTTTCTGTTTTGTTCTTTTCTCTTTCTCTGCCCGCTGCAGACCAAAGAAAGATAGAGCAAGGCAAGAAAAGTAAGTGGCCATGACTTTAGCTCCTCTCCCTCTCCTTGGCCGGTTATCTTGGTTTGGGGCTCTTGGCTTCCTCTGTCAGGGGGGTCTCATATCTTCACTGAGTCAGGGAGTTGGCCTCACGAAGACTGTGGTGGCAGTAGGGGTTGGAGCAAACCCGAGGATTCTGGCTCTAGGATTAGGGGCAAAACCCCAGCCTGGAGCCTGGAGCTTCCTGTGGAAGGAGACCACGCATTCCAGGTCTCCAGGTCATTCCTGGCCGGGACTTGCAAGTTTTGGTGTGCGGGGGTGCGTGTGGACAGCGGCTCCCCGGCTTGCTCTAGTCTCCTGTCCCCCCACAGCAGGGAGAGGGAGGGGGTGGCGGAGAGGCCAGCTTTTGTGTGTCAGAGGAAACGGTCTCTCGCCGTGGTTGCTGTGGTGGTGCGATTGGACTTGGGGGCCGGCTGAGAGGTTTTCTTGGTGATGCCCTCCTGTAGGAGTGAGGTGGGCCTGAGCCACTCAGCCCTCCCTGGCCAGGGAGAAATGAGTTGACTGTTGGTCATTTTCTGAGGCTTCTAGTTGCTCTGTGTGGAGGGTTGAGTCAGGATGGAGCAGGGGGCATGGTCTGGGGGCAGTGAGCCTTCAAGACCCGGTGAGCAAAGGGGACAAGCCTGCAGGGAAAGAGAATGAGAGAGAGCACCTGTGTCCTTCCCTCCCTTCCCCTCCCTCACCATCCCGTCTGCCCCCAAAGCTCTGGGGACCCAGAAGCTCCGAGGCCTCAACCCCTTGCCTCTTCCCTAAGTCCCCAACTTCCAGGACTGCTGTGGCTCTCAGAGCAGTGATTTGGGAGAGTAGTCTCAGAGAGAGAGAGAGAGAGAGAGAGAGTGTATTTGTGTGTGTAGACCCTCCTCCTTCCCAGTGCTTTCTCCTAGGGGAGCAGTGTTGCCCCTCTCCTCAGTCCCTTCCCCCTCTCCCCAGTCCCGTCCCCTCATTTCTTCCCCTGTGGCAGACATTCTGGGCATCTTCTGGCCTGGCAGGTGTGGAGAGTGCTGGGTCCCTTGAGGGGAACAGGCTTCAGCCTGCCCCCCCTTGCCCGTTTCCCAAATGTCTCCATTGCCCCCGGGGAGAGCGGGGGGCTCGCCTGGGCTCGGAAGAGAGTCAGCTGAGATGGTGTGGCAGGCTTTGACAGGCTGGGGAGGGAACCTCCTGCCAAGTAACGCCCAGGCCCCTCCTCCCATGCCTCCCTAACTCCCACCCCACCCTACTGCCTGCCTGGGGCTCTGAGGACACCCATCCCCGCCTCTCGGCCCAGGTTATGGCTGGGCAGGCTGGCGCCTTTCATGTGCCGCCCCTGGGTCTGTGCCAGCTCCCAGCGTAGCTGCTCTCCCACATCGGGATCTGCAGAGGCAGGGCCCCTGAGGGACCCCTTTGCTGTTGCACTTGGAAATGAAGGCAGAAGGTGCCCAAAGCACAGCCTGGGCCCCGACCCCCACCCCCATCAAGTCAGGTCTCTCCAAACTCTGGCCTACCTTTTGTAGCACCCCCACCCCCGACCTTCAGGGTCAGACTTGTCCAGGGTTGCTGCCCACAGGGCTTTGCCCCTGCCTGGGACCAGGAGCTGCCACGAGCACTCAGGCCTTTGGGTCCTGTGTCCTCCACCCAGCCTCTGCTCCCCACGCAGAGCATTGCCGGAGGCCAGGTTGGCCACCCAGGGTGGCCGAAGGGAGAAGGAGGAGCCATTGAGTGCCCGCTGCCCCAGCCTTGCCGTGCGTGTGCGTGTGCGTGTGCATGTGCAGGCCCTTTCCTGGAGCCCGCTGGCCTCCCAATGCTTGTTCCAGGGAGTGTGTCCTGAACCCTGCCCTCCTCGTTGCTTCTTTTCCTTTCCCCTTCCCCCTTGCTCTCTCTTTGTCTGTCTCTGTTTTTTTATTTTCCAGAAAATCAATTCGAGGAAAGGGAAAGGGGCAAAAAAGAAAGCGCAAGAAAGCCCGGTATAAACCCTGGAGCGTGTACGTGGTGCCTCCGCTGTCTCATTGCCTGGAGCCTCCCTGGCCCCCAGTCAGACCCCCGCCGGCGGGACCCCCTAACCCTGCCCCTCCCGGCCCCCCCGGCTCTCCTCCCCCTCTCCCCCCGAGTGTCTCTCTCTCACTCTCACTCCACTAATTGGCACCAGCAGCTAGATGCGGTGGTGGCGTGGCCGGTCCAGGGTCGGGCTGGCCAGGTGGGCAGAGTGGGCCCGGAGGATCCAGGGAGGGGCCTCCGGCTTGGCTGGGCACCGCCTTTCTCTCACCCACTGGGCACTGGTGGTGGGCCCATCTGGCGCAGGTGCCAGACACTGGTGCCTGCTCACCCAACTGGTTTCCACTGCTCTTGGCTTCTGCACTTGTCTGGAAGCTGAGGGTAGTGGGGCAGGCAGACGTGGCGTGAGGAAGGGGTGCGAGTGACTCGAGGCAGCCTGTTGTCAGCTGCAGGAGGAGGCCGGGTGGGGTCAGGCACCGTATGGCAGCCCCTCCTCGTGGACCTGGGGCCTCCGGAGGGGAGCCCTCTACTCTGGTCTGACGCACGGCACCCACAGAAACCTCCCTGTAGGTTTGGAGGCTCTTCCTCTGGGTTGGAGGCTGTGGTGGGCCCTTTGGCCACCAGTGGCCTGGCTGTGGACGCTGCCTCTGGGCTTGGCCTGATGTGGTGCCCTCCTTCAGCCTGCCTTTGGTGGAGGGGCCCAGGCCTGAGGGGCCCTGAGGGGCACAGGGGGAAGGTGGCCCGGATTGCTGTCCCCAGCAGGTGAAGAGTCAAGGTGTACTCTTTCGGGGGCGGTAGCCACTGGGGCCCTGTGGCCCAAGACTTGAATTTGTCCCTACGGGACAGCACTCCCCCCTTACAGTGTCCTCTCCTTGCACTCTCTGCCCACCTGTGTCTGCCTCTTCCTGCAGGCAGGCTTCCTAGCCAGTGCTGCCTCTTTCCGCCGCTCTCTCTGTCTTCCGCTGCAGCACTCGGATCCTTCCAGGGCTTGGAAGGGGCAGGGGGGCCAATGAGCTGGGTGGGGGTGCAGCTGCGGACTGTTAGGGGGTGTTGCATGTTTTTTTTTTTTTTTTCTCTTTCTCTGCTGACGCTCTAGCTTAGATGTCTTTCCTTTTGCCTTTTGCAGTCCCTGTGGGCCTTGCTCAGAGCGGAGAAAGCATTTGTTTGTACAAGATCCGCAGACGTGTAAATGTTCCTGCAAAAACACAGACTCGCGTTGCAAGGCGAGGCAGCTTGAGTTAAACGAACGTACTTGCAGGTTGGTTCCCAGAGGGCGAGCAAGTCAGAGAGGGGCTTCACACAGAGATGGGGAGAGAGAGAGAGAGAGAGAGAGAGAGAGAGAGAGCTTGCGTGCACGCGCACCAGAGGGGCCAGCTGCTTGCTCGGCTTCTAGCTGCCTGGTGACTGACCGCCGCCTTCTCTGCTTGCGGGGCCCCTGCGGTGGGATGCAGGCGCTGGCCTGGCCTGCTGGGGCCTGTTCCGAGGTTGCCCTGGTTGCCTGAGGGGTTAGCCTGGTGTGGCTTCATGTGACGGTGTGGACGCAGGCTGAGTGTTGTGTCCTGTGGTCCCGCGGTGTCCTGTGGTGGCTGTTGGTCCTGACGTTGTTATCACTACCTTGCTACTAATACAGAGGGCCCTTCTTGGTGTGGGGGCTGCTGCCGTCTACAAGGCTCAGACGCTCTTGGGGGCCTTGCCACCACCCTCTGAAGTCCGCACCGCTGGGCTTCTCATCCCCTCAGTGTCCCTCACGGGGGCAGGGGGCGAGTCCCTCCGAGACTGGGGTCCCCGAGGGCGCGGGCTCCCGCTGTTGGTTTGGGGTGGGTTGGAGATTTAACGTTTGGGGGACACTAGATACTTTTAATACTCCAGTTACTCATGGTGACAACCCCAAACAGCCCACATATTTCCAAATGCCTCCAGGATGGGCGGGTCGGGAACTCCTCACGGGAGGGCCTGGCTTTTATTCACCTGGGTGACCCTCCAGGCATCTGTACCTTTGTCCTCTGAGCACACTGGGGACCTAGAAAGTGTCAAGTATGTAAGCGAATACGTGACTGAGTTCAGGGGGTAAGGTCAGGAGCACAGAGCCGTGACAGGTTGGCTGGCCATCTTTCGATGCCTACCAGTCCGGCCTTTGCTCAAAGGCTGGGAGCCCTCTGGGCCAGCCTGAGTTTCACCCAGGGAGGGGGGCTTATATGGGGATTCCCTGGCAGGATCAGGGTGCCCCCAGCTAGTCCAGATGCTCCATTAACAAAGTCCTTGGAATGTGGCTGCCTTCCCCACCCCCGTGTTCTTGCGGCTGTGGATGTTCAAGGGATGCTGGGGACCAGGCCCTGGGCTGTTGGTGCAGGCTTCTCTCTGTCTCGGTGGTATGTGAGGATAGGAAGTGTATGTGAGTGCTGGGCTTGGGGCTCTGCCTAACTCCAGGGCCCAGTGAGGGGTCTCCACATGCCCCGGGGGCTTTGGGGAAGGTGAGGGCTTTATCATTTTCACGGTTTCTGTGTGGGGATTATTCTGCAGAGAGACTGTCTGGGATGGGGTGTGTGAAGTGTCCTGGGGGCTAACAGAAGTTACCCCAGCCTCCAGAGACCTCCCCCCGTATGGGGGAGTTTCAGGACCCCAAATTGGGGGCTTAGGATGCCCATTGCCAGGCTCTCAGAAGGGCGGGGCCTGCTCTGACCTCTCATAGTAGAGAAGGGAAAAGGCAATAAGTCCCAGGGGCAGGGGCATGACACGAAAGCTCTTGGTGTCCCCTCTGCTTGGACAGGAGCAGCACAGCGAATGATCACCTCTCGCCACCCAGCAGCCTGGTACCGGGGGCCCGCTGCGGCCAGCATGCTGAAGAAACAAGGCCTGGAGGGAGGGCATGGTGAAGGGAGATGTGTCCCTCACGGCCTCGCCGGAGCAGCCCCTCCCTTTCAGCTGGCCCTAGCCCTGGGTCAGGGTGCTCTCCCCACTCTCTTCCGCAAGCCAGCCCCATAGAGGCAGAGCTGAAGCCCCTCTCTCTGCGGGCACTCTTTGCTGACTAACTCGGTCCACCTCTGGTCACCATCAGCTCTTAAATGCCAAGTAGGGACTGTTCTTGAGTATGCGTTCATTTGTCGCCTCTGATGGCATGTCCCCATGTCCTTGTCTTGTCTCAACTAGATTGTAATCTCTAGAGCGCAGAGGGGAGTCCTGGACTCAGCTCCTGCCTGGGGGGGAGGCGGGGGTGCCCACCCCGTGGGCGGGGGCTGGCTCTCCCCTCCCGCGGGGCTCCTCGAGAAAGTGCCGTGCTTTCGCCATCCTCTCTGCCACAGGGACCCTGGGCTCCCGGGAAGGGAAGGCTGCCTGCCTCACTACGGTGTCCCCGCGCCCGGCCCTAACCGCCTGCCTCTGTTTCCCGTCTGCCACAGATGTGACAAGCCCAGGCGGTGAGCCGGGCTGGAAGAAGGAGCCTCCCTCAGGGTTTCGGGAACCAGACCTCTCACCAGGAAAGCCTGATTCAGAACGCTACAGAAACCACGCCGCTGCCCCCACCACACCAACCATCGCCATCACCAGAACAATCCTGAATCCAGAAACCTGAAATGAAGGAAGAGGAGACTCTGCGCAGAGCACTTTGGGTCCGGAGGGCGCGACTCCGGCAGAAGCATTCCCGGGCAGGTGACCAAGCACGGTCCCTCTTGGAATTGGATCGCCATTTTATTTTTCTTGCTGCTAAATCACCGAGCCCGGAAGATTAGAGAGTTTTATTTCTGGGATTCCTGTAGACACACGCACCCACATACATACACATACATACATTTATATATATATATATATATATATATATTTTTATATATATATATATTATATATATATATAAAAATATATATATATATTTTATATATATATAAAATATATATATTCTTTTTTTTAAATTAACATTGCTAATGTTATTGGTGTCTTCACTGGATGTATCTGACTGCTGTGGACTTGAGTTGGGAGGAGAATGTCCCTACCCAGATCCCAACAGGGAAGAGGATGGGAGGGGAGACTCTGGCATGATCTTTCGGTCCCTCTTAGGAAAGCCAGGGTCCCCTTCCCTGCCCAGGAACGTGCATGGCCAGGGCATGGGGGCAAATTTGGCCTGCTTTTGGGAACACCGACAAACCCAGCCCTGGCCCCAAGCCTCTATACCCTGAGTCAAATGGACAGACGACAGGTACGGGGACGAGGACACTGGCTCTGACCAGGAGTTTTGGGAGCCTCAGGACACTGCTGTACTTTGGGGATCCTCTCTGCATGCTGCACGGGCATCCTGCCCCCAGGGGCACTGCCTGGAAGATTCAGGAGACCAGGCAGCCTTCACCTACTCTTCACTGGCTCCCGAGATGCCCAGGGCACCGCTGCCAACAGATGTCTTGGCGAAAAGAAGAGAGACATTGGTGGAGGAAGGGCCGCCTGGCGGCAGCTTGTCCTCCAAGGAGAAGGCCTCCTGCCTTGGCCTTCTCCCAGTTCCCCTTCCCGGGTGCAGCCCAGGAGGGCCTGATGTCCTCAGACCATTGAAACCACTAGTTCTGTCCCCCCCAGGAGACCTGGCTGTGTGTGTGTGAGTGGTTAACCCTCCTCTGTCCCCAGACCCGACCCTTCCCGCGGCACAGAGAGACAGGGCAGGATCCACGTGCCCACCACGGAGGCAGAGAAAGTGTTTTATATACGGTACTTATTTAATATCCCTTTTTAATTAGAAATTAAAACAGTTAATTTAATTAAAGAGTAGGGCTTTTTTCAGTATTCTTGGTTAATATTTAATTTCAACTATTTATGAGATGTATCTCTCTCTTGCTCTCTCTTGCGCTCTTATTTGTACTGGTCTGTGTGTTAAGATTCATGTTTCCAATCTCTTATCTCCCTGATCGGTGACAGTCACTAGCTTGTCCTGAACAGATATTTAATTTTGCTAACACTCAGCTCTGCCCTCCCCTTTCCCCTGGCTCCCCACCACACATTCCTTTGAAATAAGGTTTCAATATACATCTACATACTATATATATATTTGGCAACTTGCGTTTGTGTGTGTGTATATATATATATATATATATATATATTTATGTATATATGTGATTCTGATAAAATAGACATTGCTATTCTGTTTTTTATATGTAAAAACAAAACAAGAAAAAATAGAGAATTCTACATACTAAATCTCTCTCCTTTTTTAATTTTAATATTTGTTATCATTTATTTATTGGTGCTACTGTTTATCCGTAATAATTGTGGGGGAAAAGATATTAACATCACATCTTTGTCTCTAGTACAGTTTTTCGAGATATTCCGTAGTACATATTTATTTTTAAACAGCAACAAAGAAATACAGATATATCTTAAAAAAAGCATTTTGTATTAAAGAATTTAATTCTGATCTCAAAGCTCCTCCTGGTTTCTCCTTCTCCATTGGGTCCTTGTTCCAGACTCCCTTCTGCCCCCTTTCCCTCCTCCCTTGGGGAAAATGGCATTTGTCTTAGGTCTGGGAAAGGGGTCCCAGGTATGCAGGCGATGGGTGGCCCATCTTCTTGTGCTGGGGGCCACAGCGCTTCTGTTCTGGCTGAGCAGATCCTGGAGGACCCCGTCCACCCTCTGCCATGATGTGGGGGGGGGAGGAGCTCTGCAATGGGGGAGGAAGAGGAGCCAGAGCCTCCTTAGAGAGGAGCCAGGGCCTGCAGTGAGCAGTGCTGCCTTCAGGAATCACATGATCCAGGCCTGGTCCCTTGGTCGGGGAAGGAACTGGCCATGTGTCTGGCCATGTTGCTGCCCGGGGGACAGGAGAGGGCTGAGGTTGGCTATGGGGTGCTCATGGGGCCCCAGGGTGTAATAAAATTTTACAGAGTGGGTCCTGGAGTTCCTCGATCCTCTGGAAGATGGACCCGCAGCTCTGGTGGCCCTTAAGAGGACACCCTGCCCCGCCTTGTTGTGTAGGCCCTGCTCTCCTGTGGTCCTGGCCAGGGTAGATGCTGTCTAGGTCTTTGGCATTTATGAGCAAGGCTTCCAAATCCACTTCCTCTTGCCTCTCTTTTATCCCCTCAAGCCATATTTATTGGGCCAGCCCCCATGCTAGGGCAGAGGATGCTCTTATAAATAAGACAACTCCACTCCTCAAAGGTCTGGTGAGGGTGGGTGGCCGAGGAGTCACAGAAACTATAAATCCATGAATAGAAAGACACATAACACGTGAGGGGGCATCTGCTCAGCTTGGGATGTATTGGGGGTGGCAGAGTCTGGGGGTCTTCTCCTGACATTACCTCTCAGTAGCCCCTTGAAGAATGGGTAGGAGGAGATAAGAACAGGGAGGGGAGAGGGGGACGGTTGAAGCAGATATCCCAGGCAGAAGGTGTGGTATGAGCAAAGGGTTGAGGGGGGACTCCAGTGGGCAGTGGTGAGGCATGGAGGCAGGAGAGAGGCAGGGTTAGCTCGCAGGGAGCCTCTGGCCTGTTGGGGATGAGCAGCAATTGAGGGGTTTTAAAAACACCCCAGCAGTATGGTAGGCCGGAGGTAGGGAGGCCAAAAGGAGGCTGTTGCATCCCTCCAAGGGGAGGGGCGGAGGGGGTAGTAGCAACTTCGGCCTCTCCTGGCTATACTGTGAGGAAGATGGGAGGCCAGGTCCCTGACCCACAGAGCTTTTGGTCTAGTAGGCCCTTTGCACCTACCGGGTCTTCCACTGGTTAACACGGAATCCACACCACAGCCCTGTGCGGTAGGGGCTCTTGTCATCCCAAGTGGCTATTTGCTGGAGCCTCTGAACAGCTCCTAATTCTTTCACCCCCACCCCCTTTAAGTTGATTCTCACACCACAGCCAGAGTGAGCCTGTGAAAACTGTGAGCCAAATCATGTCACCGTTCGGCTCAAAACTTTGCAGAGACTCTATTTCACTCAGAGAAAAAAATAAAAGTCCATATGATGGCCTGAAAAGGCCCTGCACCATCTGGGCGGCCTCTAATTCCCTGACTCTATGACTTCTGACCCCCCTCGGTCACTCAGCAACAGCTACTATGGCCTCTCTGTTCCTCAGACTGTGGGTGCTCTCCCACCCCAGGGCCTTTGCACTGGCTATCCCCACTTCCTGGAGCACTCTTCTCCTAGTTGTGGCAATGTGGGGCTCTCTTACCTTCAAGTCTTGTTACCTTCTCAGGGAGTCCACCTTGACCACTTCATTTACAATTGACACCCCTTCCTCACTCTGCACTTGGGTCCTCCTTTTTGCCACCCCATCTTTCCCCCCATAACGTGTGCCATCTTCTCAAACACTCTAGAATAGTGGTGTCTAGTAGAACTGCCACGGGAGCCACACATTTAATTTGGAATTTTCTAGGAGCCAGATTTAAAAAGGTAAAAAGAAACAGGGGAAATTAACTTTAATACTATATTTTACTTAACCCCGATGTATCTCAAAATATCATTTCGCCATCTAATCAATGTAAAAATTATTAAGGAGAGACTTCCCTCTTCTTTTGTGTGAAATCTTCAAATCTGATGTGTGCTTTCTTCTTCCCGCGCATCTCAGTTTGGAGTAGCCACGTTTCAAGTGCTCAGTATACACACGTGGCTAGTGGCTACTGTTTTGGACCACATAGCTCTAAAATTTACTTTCCCTTTTGTCTGCCTCTCCCCCACCCACCCTCGCCCCCACCCCTGCCCCCACTAGAATGCAGGCAATGCGTGAGGGCAGAGATTTTTGTCTGTTTCGTTCATCGCTATACCTCCAGCTCCTAGAACAGTGCCTGGAACATAGTACATGCTTAATTAACGTTTGTCGAATGACACATTGCGAAACTGCGGCCGAGGTGACCGAGGGGTTCATCCCAAGGCTGTGGTGGCGGGTGAGGCCGGCAGCGGTGGTTGGTGGAGGGGCTCGCTGACAGGTGGAGACACTTGAATGGGGCTGGGCAAGGAGGGAATTCAGAGTCCGATGTTGGGATTAGGGACAGAAGCCTCTTGGTCAGTGCCAGGCACAGTTTCCTCCCTTTAGCCACCCTGGAGATGGGGCTCATGATTTCTGCTTGGCTGATGAGAAGCAGGAGCCTCAGAGAGGGTGAATAACGTGCCTGAATTTACGCACAGCCGGTAAATGGCCAAGCCAGAATTTAAGCCAGCTTTCCTGACTCCAACTCTAGTGCTTGGTCCACCGCACCGTGGTTGCCCTGGGCTAGGGCAGAACATCAACAAGTGAAAATGAATCGTCTAGACTGAATACAAACAGCCAGAAGAAAAGTGGGACAGGGGGAGGATGCAGTGGTGGCCAAACCCAGGGCTGAAATCCAGAGTCCCCAAGTGTGGTAAGGCAAGGCAAGGCAAGAGATGTCTCCAGGGGCTGGGGCTTGTCAGTGGAAGATCCGAAACCTAAGCACAAAAAGAATTGCAACATGCAGCCTTGGAGGAGAGAAACAGTCTTTAAATAGACTATGGGGAAAAGAAGGATAAAATGAAAATGTTGCATCCTTCAGTTGTATAAGACCTGCTCATCCCCCACCCTGGAGCGAGGCCCAGTGCCAAGCTGTCCCAGCTCATCTCCCCTCTGTGGGACTCACACCCTCCCCTCTGGCCTGGCCACTTTTTTCCCTAGAGATACACAGTGCTCCTTCTCAACTCTGATCTGCCCAGCCTGAGTCCCTTTCCCTTTTCCCTAAACAGTGACAGACCCTGGCCATAGCCCCCAAAGGCCTGGGGAGTATTTGCTTCTCCAAGGACACTGCCAACCTACTCTCTTCCCCCTCTGCAAGGAGGCTGGGTAGATCCATACAGATCTGGGTGATTCTGGGTCGGTTTTATATGTGA